ATAATTATTTCTAATTAAATTATTAAATGTATACAATATATATTATATAGGCCTAGGCATATACATAAAACAAAAAATAAACAAACAATAATAATAATAATAATAATAATAATAATAATAATAATAATAATAATAATAATTTGACGATAGTTTGATTAATGAAATAGTAATAATCAGCATATTAAATAAAATTACGTCCATGCAAAAACTGCTTTTTAAATAAAAACGTTATCTATTTGATTCTGTTTTAAAAAATAATCTTATAAATTATAAGTTTATTTTCTGCGATAACTTTATGCACATATGCATATTCATGTTTTCAATGTTAATCTGGTTGATAAATAATATTTAAAAAAATTATTATTAATAATAATAATAATAGTAATAAAGGTGCTCGAATAATGCTTTAGTGAATAATTAATAATACTTCAATAATGCTTCAGTAGGCCTATTTACGATAGTGTGATTAATGAGATAATTGTTGATTAAGTTATAGAAATATAATAGGTAGGCCTATATAATCCATTCAGCATTTTAAATCAACAATACGTCGTAAATGTAAAATTTCTTTGGTTCAATAATAATAATAATAATAATAATAATAATAATAATAATAATAATAATAATAATTTTACAATAGTTTGATTAATGAAATACCGTAGTAATAATCAGCATATTAAATAAAATTACGTCCATGCAAAACCTGCTTTTAAATAAAACATTATCTATTTGATTTTGTTTTAAAAAATAATCTTATAAGTTATAAGTTCATTTTCTGTGATAATTTTATCCACATATGCATATAAATGTTTTCAATGTTAATATGGTTAATAAATAATATATATATATAAAATATATAATAATAATAATAATAATAAAGGTGCTCGAATAATGCTTTAGTGAATAATTATTAATACTTCAATAATGCTTCAATAGGCCTATTTACGATAGTGTGATTAATGAGATAATTGTTGATTAGCTAAATTGATATAGAAATATAATAGGTAGGCCTATATACCATTAATAATGATTCAGCATATTAAATCAACAATACGTCGTAAATGTAAAATTTGTTTGGGTTTTTTTTCAATAGAATTTTACCTATTTTATTGTTTCAAAAAAATATTAAATTATAATATATATATATATATGTATATATATATATGTATATATATATGTATATATGTATATGTGTGTATATGTATATATATATATGTATTTATATTTATATGTATATGTATATGTATATATATGTATTTATGTGTATATATATATATATATTATGTATGTATATATTCAATTCAATTCAAAATGGTATATTTATTCAAAATTCAAAATTTAAATTAAGACATAAAACATAGCAGCCAAAAGGCTGAATTGCGAATTATGTTAACAATTAAAACCATTAAAAAAATCAAACAGCAAAAATAAAAAAACAAGTACATCAAAAAAGAGAAAAATATTGCAAAAGGATCGATATTCTATCAAATTCGTCATTATTATAATTATTGTTATTATCATTACTATTAATTTATTTAGTTATGAATACTAATATAAAAAAGATCAAAAAACATCATAACAAGTAGATCAAAAAAAGAGAAAAAAGGATTGCACAAAGATCGAAATTTGTCATTATTATAATAATTATTATAATTGTCATTATTATTATAGTTAAGAAAAATAATACAAATCAAAAAGGACATCATAACAAAAACATCAAAAAGAGAAAAAAGATTGCACCAAGGTCAAAGCATAATCATTATCGTTACAATTAAGAATATTATAATCAATATTATTGTCATTATTATTTATTATCCTTATTATTGTAACTAATTAATTAATTAAGGATTGTCATTAAAAATATCAAGAAACATAACAAATGAGAAAATCACAAACATCAGAGAAAAATTACAATATAGAAAAATACATAGAATAAATTGCACAGGGACCAACAAGGAAGGCAGGGGGGGGGGGGATCACTGAACCGCAAAAAGGGCAATGACATGCACCAAACCCCCAGGGGGAGAAGATAGTTATTAATTATTAATCATTGGAGTTAATTAAGTTAACAAGGTATTGTAATGGGCTGTTTTGATATCTTTTCGTTCTACAACGAGGTATAGTAAATTTAGTATTGCACCTAGTATTATAGGAGTTGACCCTTGGGGGAAAG